AGTAAAAATGTTAAAAATTTTTTTAAAAAGTTTATTTATTTTGAGAAAGAGTATATGACCACATGCGAGCAGGTGAGGGACAGACAGAGAACGAGAGAGAGAGAGAGAGAGAGAGAATCCCAAGCAGGCTCCACACTCAGCACTAAGCCCAAGGTGGGGCCCGATCTCAGGAACTGTGTGAGATCATGACCTGAGCTAAAATCAAGAGTGGGGCACTTGACCGACTGAGCCACCCAAGAGCCCCTCAATTTCCAGCTTGCAAAGATTGTCCTGGTCGTTGATGAGGAGACAAGCAGGAAGCAAGATCAGTTAGCGATTCCCGGACTAGCCAGAGAGATTGGTAGCGGTGGATATGGTGAGAAATGATTGGATTTGGAACTCCTCTGGGACACACAGCCAACAGGAATTGCTGATGCATCCAAAGTAAGCTGTTAGGGACAGAGAAGAATTACAAATGACATCTAACACCTGTAGACATAGGGAAGATAGGGGAGAGGAAATTCTCTCTTGGGAGAGGAATTCTTTCTTGGACATACTATACTTCATATGCCTAATATGGGTCCAAGTGCAGACAAACAGGAAACTGGATATAAAAACGGTGAGCTCAGGGAAGAGAAAGTCAACATCTAAATGGCACAAAAGCCCCAGGAATCCATGGGATAAATTGGAAGATGTGGTAGAAGGTACAGTGTTTTCTGCTTCTTCGGTTCATAATTAAGTAAGAAGTTGGGGGATGGGAGGAATAGTGACATGAAGTTTAAAAAGAGAGGGATTTTGAGATAGTGGCCTTGGGACCCAGGAAACCATGGGAGTCCCTTCACTAGGGAAGGGTGGGAGGGTGGATGTGATGGGCGGCCTCTGAGAATCAGGGTCATAAGCTCAAGGTGAGAGTGTGCTTGGGTGTTTCTCCAGCAACATTCAGCCGCTCACATACAGACTTAGAGAATCGGGTTTACTGTGGATGGGTTTTTTTTTTTAGGCTAAGTGGAGAAGAGGAAGGGATAAGAAAGGAGTTGAGGGTGAACACAATTGAATGATTATAGTGATGGACCAGAGATTCTGATCTGGGGCAGGAGGGAAGTGAAAGCGTTGAAGAAAATGGTGGCTTCATGGCTGGGACGTCCTGATGAGGTAACATGGTTAAAAAGCGTACCTAGCAGGGAGTATGCTAAAAAGCAGTGGAAAGGAGTCAGTGGAAGCTAGAATTTGGAGGGGGAGGAGGTCATGAGGCCGAAGGATCAAGAAGTCAGGGCACCGGGTGGATTGTTCACGTGAAAGAAGTCTGCAGAATCATGCTGCAGAGAAAGTCAGTGAGCCAGATACTTGGATGAGGGGGGAGTGTAGATGGTATGGTCTAATAGCATTGCTCTAAAGATCCTGAGGATTACATCGCGGAAATGAGAGAAATGGTCTGGAAGTACCAAGGGGACAGTTAGGGCATAGTAGGCCCGGCGGTACAGGGCTGGGAACGAGAGTCCTCACCCAAGAGGGCTGCAGGGAACATGCCAAGTCTGAGTTAGAGCTAAAAGGTGGAACATTGGAGCACCTGGGTGGCTCAGTCGGTTGAGCAGCCGACTTCGGCTCAGGTCCTGATCTCACCGTTCATGAGTTCGAGCCCCGCGTCGGGCTCTGTGCCGACAGCTCAGAGCCTGGAGCCTGCTTCAGAGTCTGTCTCTCAGTCCCTCCCCCCACTCACACTCTCTCTCTCTCTAAAATAAATAAACATTAAAAATATTTTAAAAAATAAAAGGCGGAACATAAAAGAGAGGAGGTGATTATGGGCAGTTTGCAGGTGACGGATCATGAGCGGCTGAGAACACAGGGTGCAGCATCGGGAGAGAGGGAGGCACCTGTCCTGCGTGTGGCGAAAGGGGGGATAAGCTGTTCAGGCTCGCTCCAGGCAGAAGCAAAATCAGAGTCAGCAAAGCTCATGCGGACTTAGCAATTGTTACTCACAGGAAGCCAAGTTTCGCTTCTTCGGCCATGTCCTGAACTGCTGAAATTGCCAGATAAGCACTCTATGAATAATTTATCATCATAGGTAATGTTTACTAAGCTTTAATTACGTAGCTCTCTTTGAAGAACTCAATCTCATCCTATATATCTTGGGTATCTTCAAAGTTTTACATTCTGACTTAAGTTTATTTGAAATTAATGGAAAAAAACCAGGAGTCTAAGGAAGAATGAATGTGAAATCATATATAACACGCAATGAGATGAAGCTGTTCTGACCTGGGAACAACACCACACTTGGCACAGTAGCTGCACTTGGGCCTACGACTTGGGCGACTTGGCCATAGTCCACTGGATTTGTTTGGTTTTTGTAGGTTCCACATTTGTGCATTAAAAGGCAACAGGATGGGGGCCTCACCCTGAATCTTCTAGTTCTCTGGTGATGACACTAATTCCTGCCATTCCCCCTGGGATACCATAGCACTTTTGATTCACCGTCTTTTCCACGGAGGGGAGTCGTTTCAGAGCATTCTCCTTGACGTCTGCACTGTGGTGGTAGTCTTACCCTAAGGCAAGGAACCAATGTGAGGCGAGGTTGTGCAACGACCAAGCATGTCTAGTTCCGTTATATGTTTGGGGTCTGGGAAAATGACCTCCAGATGGGGCCACGGACCCGCTGTAGCCATTGTAACTTGGATCTGGGGCTGGGATCCACTTATTACCTAGCCCCAATATTCCTGACTCTAACAGAGGCCTGTGAGGATGAGTAGAGACTCTAGGTGTTAATGTCTACCAATCCCCTGTCAAAGAGTCATCAAAACGCTTGGGTATTCCTCAGCATTGTTACCCAAGTAGATCCCTTTGGTGAAGGACCAGGAGATCAGACTTGTGTGGTATGGCAGGGGGCTGGGGAGACAGTCTTGCCTTCAACCAATGGGCTTGGGTCCAAAAACTGGCTCAGGCCGGGAAACCAGGCAAGGACTTGAGACTTTTTATTGGGGTGGTGTCCCCTCAGCTTCCTGGTCATCCATCCTTGACTTTTTTTTTTTTTAATGTTTATTCATTTTGAAAGAGTGTGAGTGCATGTTTGAGCAGGGGTGGGCAACAAGAGAGGGAGAGGGAGAACCCTGCATGGAGCCCGGTGCTGGGCTCAATCACACAACCACATGATCATGACACGAGCAGAAATCAAGAGTCTGACGCTTAACCAGCTGAGCCACCCAGGTGCCCCATCTTTGACTTCTTTTAATCGTACAGACTGAGCAGTCTCTTGTTGGCTACCCATCTGTTTTGCCCTTAGGGATGCAGTAACTAATAGGGTTTTGAGTTAGTTCCCTTGGATGTTCCTTTCTGGCTGGGAGAAGAGTTTTTCATATTTGAGGGAAAGAGTCCTCACGAATATCTCTTGGCCAGAGGGACAGACCGTGGCAAGTGACAGCCGGTTGCCCACCGAAGCTTATTAATACAATCAGCACGTACACATTCTCCCCTTACGTGATGCAGAGTGTAACTAACTGAAAAGGTAGCTGCCCAGCCTGGAGCTACATTTCCCAGCATCCCTTGCATAGAAGTAATGCCAGGTGATGTCACTTCTAGACTGAGGAGGTTAAAAGGCATATGTTCTTATCCAGTCAGTTGCTCTCTTTTTGCCGACTTTGTTTGTGGCTAGGGTAACCTCGGAAGATAAATGTTGAAGAAGGCAGAACCCCTGTCAGCTGGGCCCCTGAATAGCTATAGGAGCAGAGCCAATACCCTCCTACCATTACATCCTTCTTGGTCAGTTATGCAAGCAAGAAATGGTCCTTAATAGCAGTGGGCACTTGAAATGTAGGTGTTCGCCAAAGCAGCTGGGGTTACCTAATACTTACTATGCTCTCTATACATTCTTTATCAAATCTACCTAGAAGAAAATCGTTTCTGTAAGGGTGGATTTTTACCAGATTTGAAGGCATGTCTCTGATGGTCTGGCTAGAGTATAGGTTATGTGACATATGTAAACATCACTGGAGAGGCCCAGGGACGTTTTTCAGAGCTGGGCAGTTATTCACAAGTGAAAATGAAGTATAACTGGGGTGCCTGGGTGGCTCAGTCCGTTGACGTCTGACTCTTGATTTTAGCTCAGATCATGATCCCAGGGTCATAGGATCGAGCCCCGCACCGGGCTCTGCTCTGAGCACAGAGCCTGTCTTAAGATTTTCTCTCTCTCTCTCCCTCTGCCCCTCTCTCCCACTTGCACTCTCTCCTCCCCTCTCTAAAATTAAAAGAAAAAAAATGAATTATAATAAAGGACAATGTTAATACAATCAACAAGTACACATTTTCTCTGTCCTAAGCTCCTTGATATAAGCAGTCACGTGGGTCCTTGTAGGCTGTACATCTTAGGTACCTCCAGTTGTCTGGCCGTGCTTATCCGGGGCTCTCTGGATGCTCTTGCCATCGATTTAGAGGAAACACTCCCCTGGAGGCCGTGGGTATCGGTTTCCTATTGCTGCTGTAATAAGTTACCACCGACTCAGTAGTTTAAAGCAGTAGTTTATTTTCTCACAGTTCTGGAGGTCAGAAATCTGAAATGAGACCCACAGGGCCAAGACCACGGTGTCACCAGGGCTGGCTCCTCCCGAGGGTTCCAAGCAAGAATCCTTTGCATGCCTAAAAGTTGCCTGCGTGGCTCCACTGTGACCCCTTCTCTGCATCGCTACAGCCTGTGGCTGCTGTCACCACGTCTCCCACTACTGAGCCTGATCTCCTGCCTCCCTCTTACAAGGACACATGATTGCACTGGCCCCACGAGGATAATCTCAAAACCCTCAGTGTGATCACATTTGCAAAGTGTCTTCTGCCATAGAAGGTAACCCTCACAGGTCCTGGGGATTAGGATGTGGACACCTTCCAGCCTGCCACAGTGTGGGATGTGGCTTCCATGTAGCTTTGAAAGGCACCAGCTGACAAAGAAATGGGAGGGGACTGGCTCCCCACCTAGTGCAGTTCAGCCAATGGGAAACAGGAGACAGGACCAACTCAGGAAATGTCTTTTCTTCCTTCTCCAGGACAGCTGCTCTGAGGCAGGAGTTTCCTATACAACCTGTGCAGAGACATCCCACGTGGCCCCGGTCTTGCTGAGCAACTGTTGGGTCTCCTGGTGGCCCGCGGGGAAGCAGGTGCGAGCACGGCAGGGCAGTGCTTTGCATGGCTTCCCATCCTTCTCTGCCTCGCTCCCTTTCCCTTGCTGCTCCGGCTGCACTTTCCAAAGCACTAGCACTTGACCTCTGTTCTCCGGGGGGGGGGGGGGGGGGGG